CAGTGGGGGCCTCAGGCGGACAATGTGGGACCCGCCTAAAGCAGGGCGAATGCACGGCCTTGCACAGGTCTCGGTCTGCTCCTGCCAGGTGATCAGCAGGCGGCTGTCCGCACTCGCACAGGCTGATGGCTCTGGGCTGGCTCCCCATTGGCTGCTCCCTAAGGCATGGTCCAGGGGGATGAGGGACAGGAAGAAAGAACTCGGGACTCCCAGAGCCAAGGGCGACAGGTGACCCTATCAAGTGACAGTCAACCATCAGGTAGGAGGAGATGTGCTGAGCGACATGTGACCACTGCTCACCATGGAGGCGGTCCTCCCCCACTGCTCATTCAGCTCAGCCCATGGGCCTGGCAGGAAAGTAGCAGCCCACTGTATTCCCCTTGGAACCACCTGCATCCAGGCCAGGCTGGCTCTGCTGGGCTCCAGCGATGCCGTGTGCTTAGCACCAAGTCCAAACTCTGGCTATTGCTGGAGGCTGCCTCGACCTGGCCCATGCCCTGCCGGTCTCACCCCCTCCTGCTCCACCCCAAATTCTCCCCTTTCTGTGGGTTTACCTCGCTATCCAGCCTGCATCCCACGCCTTGGCTTAGCCCATCCTCCTTGACTGGACACCTGCCTGGCTGCCTCTGACCTCCAAAACCCACCTGCGAAGCTCCTCGATCCGCCCCCAGCATGTGCCCCTCTGAATTCCTCCTGTACTAACTGTCCGGGGCCCCTGCCAGGGCATTACAAGGGTAGGGCTGGGGGCGACTTATCCTGCCTGTGGGCGTCAGCTCTTGTCCCCTCTGCAGGGCGGGGCTGTAACTCAAACAGCTATGCCTCCAACGTGCTTGACACATGTTGGACATACAGTGGGCATTAGATGGATGGACAGTGGGCGGGTGTATGATGGGTAGATGGATTGGCGGATGGATGATGGATGAGTGCATGGAAGCAGGATGGGTAGATGAACTGATGGATGGATGGGTGGCTAGGTGGATGGATGGCTAGGTGGATGGATGGATGGACGGACAGATGGATGGATGGATGGATGGATGGATGGATGGATGGATGGATGGACGGACGGACGGATGGACAGACGGATGGATGGATGGACGGACAGGTGGATGGATGGATGGATGGACAGACGGATGGACAGACGGACAGATGGCTAGGTGGGTGGATGGATGGATGGATGGATGGATAGATGAATTGATGGATGGGTGG